CCCAACGCTGCACCATTGCACGAACCCCCCACTAGTGATGACGTACCATTACGATGTATCGCTGGTTGGTGGCCATGTTTGCGTGTTTGCTTGTCGTTAGTGGTCTCTCCACCGTGTGCCTTTTTCTGGCTCTTATTGCTTGTTATTTTCGGCCTGGTCCCTTCTTGTTCTCGCTCTTTTTATTTCATTTTCTCTTTCCTTACTGTTTCCTTTTATTTTCTTCTCTTTTTCTCTTGTTCTCTTTTTCTCTCTTTTTCTGTGCCAGATGGCCTTGTTTCTGCTTGCGTTGTGAAGTACCAAGATTGAATCAAGGGGGTGTGCCTCATTCTCTCCGGCCCGTGATGGTGACCCCTAGTCTCAGTTGTTACCTCGCATAGCGCGCAGAGGGAGTGGAGGACTCCAGAATATCTGGCGTTGATTTCTATTGACTTGCGGACCCCTCGGGGCCATTTTATTTGAGTGTACCTTTTTAGGGTAAGCTAGCCTGCGACCACGGGAATCGACCGCGTCGAGTGTTGTATCAGTACGGACATACGAAGGTACTGGATAGAGAGAGATCGGAACGGTTTTTAATGTGACGACAACAACAACAACAAGTCTATCCTGCTAGGAGCGCGGTAGACTATCCATTGCATTGTGTTTTGTGTGTGTACACCTTTTCATATTTTATCTGCCGTAGTAGCTGGTCACCCGCCTTGACCTCCACCTACGCGATTTGGCTCCCTCTCTCGCGGGTGTAGTTAGGTACCACACCGCAAGGCACGAAGACGATGAAGGCCTTCGCGGAGGCAGGGCAGAAGGTGGTTTGAGTCGATGCGGTCCAACTCGCGAGAGAACACCACCGTGGTCACCACCCTCAGCGCCAATGGTGCCACGTGGGCGCCAACCATTATCTTCAAAGGACAGCGACTCCAGCCTGACTGGTTCGCCGAGAGGAACGGCCCGAATGATGCGAGGTACACGTGCACGGACTCTTCGTTCATGCAGGACGACTTGTTCATCAAGTACCTCAAAGACGTCCACAAGCAGCTTGACGACCGAGGCTTGCTCGACGGAAAGCCGCACATCCTTGTGCTTGATGGGAATGCCTTACACGTGAGCTGCGGGGTCATCAAATTGGCCATGGAACTCAACATCATGCTCCTCCAGCTGCCCTCCCACACGTCGCACACCACCCAGCCGTTGGACGTCGTCGCTTTCGGAACCTTCAAGGAGGAGGTGACTAAAGTGCTGCGAGACTACTAGTCTGCCACGCAAACGGCGGGTTGTTACCGCTGAAGCGTGACGTGCCCGGCGTGATCGCGGCGGCTTGGCAAATGAGCCTTACACCGGAGCGGAACAAAGCATCGTTCGCCAGGGCGGGGCTGTGGCCTGTGGACATGGATCGAGCGCTGACCCGGCTTCAGGGCACGGCGAAGAGGAAAGAGGGACCGACCGGGCGCCCACCCCTAGAGGACGTCCCCATCGCCATGTCCCACGAGCAGCTGGAAGAGGCCATCGGAGAGAGGGGCCTGAGGCAGTTGAAGGCGGGAGGGCATACCATTACCGGACTCAAGGTAGGCACGGTGATGCTCGGCGGTCTCCTGACTCAGAGGAAGCGCGCCAAAAACTGGCGACCTCGCGGGGCTCTTTGGGCCTTCCCGACGGAGGCAACATCACCTCGAAAGAATTCCTGGCAAAGGTTGACGCGAAGGAACGCGCAGACAAGGCAGAGGCCGAGACGAAAGCGGAGAGGGGCAGGGAACGCGCAAGGAAGAAGGAAGAGGCGGCGGCGGCGGCGGCGGCGCGGGCACGGCAGGCGAACACGGGGGGTCGAGGACGGG